CTCCTGAAGGACAGGACCATGGCTCCTCCTCCGGTCCCACACTCGTACTCCTCCCTTTCCGAACCGGTTTCTCCCAACTTTCACTCTGGGCCTGTATTGCTGGCATTAGGCCTATTTGCAGATTCGACTGGATGTGTGATGCTACAACGGAAAGAGTTCCAGGATTGTGTTTTTGGTCCACCTCCCATATTGGTTTCAGTCATCTGTTGGGGCTCATTCTCTTTCCCCTTTTCTTTCTGCCTATTTTATACAATACATGAAGCGTTCGCGACGGTCTCGGGCCTTGGCCTGGGAGCCTGGTTGTGTGAGAAGGAGAGGGTGGGAGGCCCGATGATAGGGGTACCACCAAAACACAAAATTAGTATGCTCCTTTGAGTTTGGAGAATAGTGCTCGGATTTCCTATAGGTTCTACAATAAGAAGAGAAACGTAGGATCCTAATGTTCTGGGGTGCAGAAGTGTAGTTTTCCCCCTGTGTCTTGTTTGGGATGAAACACTTGGACTTACATGAGGCTGGCATATGCAGTTTCGAGGATTGTAGAAAGTGTGTGAAGATGGGAGGCTAGTCACTTTATGTTTCAGAGTTTAGGCGTCTTAATCTCTCGACTAGTAACAGCCAGACATCGTTCCAGCGAGGTGGTGTCTCAAGTGAGAAGGAGTCAACAAATTGTCTATTCACTAGGATTGGAGAGGCCTTAGTAGCTGATGCCCAATGCTCGGTTCTGCTGGTCAGAGGTTCTTGGCGTTTTTGGGTACTTTGTGGGCGCTTAACAAAGCATTAGTATAATACAAGCTTCATACAACAGTGCCTGCTACTAATTTTCTTCGATGTTAGGATAAACTTTCTCGCTTGGATTTGCGTATGGAGTTGATTCTGTATATGAGTATAACAATCTCAGGACGTGAATATTGATAGATTTATCTTACTCGGCGAGAACAGCTATGGTGTGCCTATAAGCATAACGCCACATTAAATCTCTCCTCAGAGGATGTTACGGATTTCAAGCTCAAGAGTACATTTACAAAAAGTGACGGCTCTACAGCCTTTGGTGATTCTATACAGATAGCTGGATCGACGCGCCAATGTGGGCGACCCGTGAGTCCGGACTCTCGCTTAAGATGTAATTGGTACCTCTCCATGAGTCATATCTTCACGCACAAGCTCAACGAGCCTTCATTGCTACGATCGCAATGCACTGAGTGTAGAATAAATCACTCGATACTGGCCGGTAGACATTACACGCTGATGGTGTTACAGAAGACTTGACATAAACTTGTCGGACAAACACTTATATATAAACAAAACACCCATTTCACGAGTGGACCATGCAGAAGTTTGTTATATATGGACGCACATGACATCCTATACATTCGCACCGTCGCAATTCACCATATACAATCATTGGGTTTGTAGCTCAGAACTTCATTAGTGTGAATATGTGTGTGAGAGAGAGGGCGATTTTCTAATGTGCGAGAAACGGAGTTAATAATAAACACAAAAAGTGCAAACACACTGTTCTAACTATTCACTTGTGTGACAAAATAGAAAGGCTCAGACCCACCGACTCTTAATTCCTGGACGACCGAATCACGTCCGAGACTTCGTATAGAATGTGTGTACGCGTAGTTTTTTTTCCTTGGTCTGTAGGCCTAAGAAAATAATAAAAATTGAGAACTTATTTTGGTTTGTAAAATGTAACTATCGGTATCAGGGGGTCGGCCAAAAATGCAGAGAGTGAAAGGCGCTAAGAAGATATAATATTTCATATAATATTAGCAAAAAGACTAGGGACTCTCTATTCGAGCTTTGTAATATACTAGTGTTCATCAACGTTGTCTCTCTTAAAATGCTGAGAGTAAGATAGATGAAGAAGCAATGTCCATCAAACTATACCTATGAGTGACCTCACAGCAGTACGCCTGGCTCATACATGTTTGTATTTCTTATAAGGTCGGCATAAAATTAGAGTATTTGTCTGATCATTTTGATGATATGATTTGGATGTCCGCGTCACATTTAGTACACATGTGTTAGATATCGGTACCCATAGGTGGTGTTGCATATAATAAGGCGCGATCTTGGAGTGATTAGATGCCGCTCTATCTCTGTCATAGTAGAGATGGGCATAAGCTAATTAGAGTTATAAGAACAATCATCGTCAATGAGAAACGAAGAAGAAATAAAATACTGAACAGAAAATATAAAACTGACAAAAACAGGAGACGCTTACATTACATTATCATCTCCACACGATCCTTAATTAACAGGATAGCAGAGAGAAGAGGATTACAACTTCAGCAGGGTTCACATTCCAGAGAAATGAACAATACAGAGAACATGGTAAAGTAACATGGAACCAACCACAAAAAGATGACATGTCTGACCAAACCAAGGACAATACGTGACTACTGCAGCATTAACTGAATTACACAAAACTTTCCTCTCAACATCACTCTCGAAGCTAATACCCTCTGGGTATCCCTGCTCTAGCAGACCTCTCGTCTTCAGAGTGTCTTCGATCTCTCACACATCTACAGTCACACACCCGCGCCCCTGATTCGCTTTGCAGTTAACCTGTAGAGACTCCCATGTCGGCACTCTGCGATTACCTACGCTGCTCACTTCATAGTCCCACGAATTGGTCCCACCTCATGCCTCTGATCGTCAGATCCAGCACGTGCTGCCCAATGGGACGCCTCATCCAGCGGCTCTTATGCATGGGACGGGCCGGGTTCTGGTTGATCTTACGCTACATCCCGTTACGACTACCCGTACACTCTGGCGGCCGGCGGGCTCGTCTCAAAGTTGCTTGGAGTACCTTTGGACTCTGGATTGGGGTGTTATTACAGAGTAGCTCGCACCTCCTTCTGCCTGCTCCATGTTTGATTGCTCACATAGCTCACGCTCACCCCGACCTCATCAACCTCCCACCCCACGTAAAGGTTGCTGATTGGTCGGGAAGGAGGTCGCCAGGTTGCCATGCCTCTCCCTTTCTCTAATGACTGTTGCTGCTCCTAAGAAACACCTCCTAAAAGACTGATGAAAGGTATTATGCAGACGGTTGTTTTGGGCCCCACTCATGACGGCGACACGCACAAATGACAGCAACTTCAACCAACGCCTATCCGTACACTCGCGAATAATTAAGCTGTGAAATATTTTAAACTCGAAACACTACATGTGAAAGCATAGGTGGAAAGTGATGATTCATTCAAATGTGTCGCATCACACAACTATGATCCATTAACACAATAATTACAAAAAGAGTTTCTATGAGTCTGTCTGACCCGCTTTATCAGTGTACATTTTCCAATCTCCCTCTCCTTCGACAGGGATGTGATCAGAGAGTCCAATGTGGGTGAGGGGGGAGGCCTTGTATGCTCCTTTGTGAGAAGTGTAAACCAAATCCAAGGTGTTTTCCCCTCTTGTTGGGAAATTGACATGCTGGTAGAGTTTTGGGAGGACAGTCTTAAGATCAGCATAATTAAAAAATCTCCAGCGAGGATGGTAAATCCATCTGGGTGTGCTGTCTGTTGTTCACTGATGGCCTGATACAGTTCACAAAGTGCCACATTCCTATCACTGCTGTTGGAGGTTGGAGGGATGTATACCGCGACTAGCAAAACCGCAGTAAACTCCCTCGGCAGATAGAAAGGACGGCACCTTATGATCATAAACTCTGCCAGTGGTGAACAGTGTTTACATACTACCACAGCGTCCTAGCACCACGCATCACAGATGTAAACACATCCGACGTAGACAGACGAGACGAACACGACAAACTTTCGGACAAACACTTATTATATAAACAAAACACCCCATTGTCGGGGGAGCGAGGGGCCACTGCATCTACTCGCACCGCCATCTTAATCTGGTTACAGACACTTGTGGATATAAGGTTTTTTAATGTGCGAGAAACGGAGTTAATAATAAACACAAAAGTCACACACTTCTCTTAATAGAAGCGCCACCTACTGGACGACCCGAAAGTGACGTATAGAATGTCCAGTTTTTCTTTGCCTAATAAAATTGACTTTTCATATATGTTCAGGGGGTCAAAAATGCAGTGAAAGGCGCTAAAAATAATAATAATAGCAAAAACGATAGGGACCTTCCAGTTGATACTGGCTCAATCCCTAATAATAAGAAACATAGCAAATACAATAGGGACCTCCAGCAGTCGCTGGCTCGGTCCCTAATAATTTGTATTTGTATGTTTTGTGTCAGAGTACATTTAGTACACAGTGGTTGTCTCTGTGTGTGTTTCAGGCGGAGGGGGAGGACAGTCTGAAGAAGATGCAGCTAATGGAGTTAGCCATCCTGAACGGGACGTACAGAGACGCTAACATCAAACCCTGTAAGAAACCGAGCAACCAGAGATCAATCAGAGACTGTCTGACCAACCAGAGACTGTCTGACCAACCAGACCTTACTCTGCACTAACTGCTTTCCTCCTCTCCTCCTCAGCCTCCCTCGCTTTCTCTCTCGCAGCCTCCTCTCAGACGTCTCGTTTCCTCTCAGGCCCGGCCCCTGTTGTTCCCCCGCCCACCGCTCTGCGTACACCTGCCCCCACAGGTCCCACCCTCATGCCTCTGATTCGTCAGATCCAGACGGTGCTGCCCAATGGGACGCCTCACCCAGCGGCTCTTATGCAGGGGACGGGGCCGGAGTCTGGTCTGATCTACGCTACACCGTACGACTACCCGTACACTCTGGCGGCGCCGGCCTCCATCTTGGAGTACCCTTTGGACTCTGGTGGGGTGTTAGGTAAGCCTGCCCCCCCCTGCTCCTGTGATTGCTCCCCCACGCCTCATCACCACCCCCATGGTCAGTGGAGCCCTGCCCCCACGCTGCTCCTAAGACACACCTCCTAAAAGATGCAGCGCTGCCCCCTGCTGGACAGAGTCCGAAACACTAAAGGTGGAAAGTGATGATTTCATTCAAATTCACTTTAACCAACAAAAAGAGTTTATTGTTGACCCGCTCTCAAGTGTTCCTCAATCTGTCCACAGTAGGATGTCTTTAATACAACCTCTGCTGTCCGGTGATGTGTTGGCTGTGAGCGAGGCGTTCAGGTACAACTGTTCACTTTAACTTTGATTCGCTGAAGATGTTTATACTACTGTTGCCGTCCCTCACAAAGAGAACCTCACAGACCTTAACAAAAACTGATCTTCATCACAGTCGCCGTGGCAACACATGACCGCAGCTTTTTGCCGTGTCATGTAACTGCAGCTTCCTTTACTGAAACATGTGACGCCTTACTAAGACCTGAACTGCAGCCAACACGCCTCCAATACGCCACCAACACGCGATACCTATGAATATTAGTTACTAAGAACTGGCCTCTAATATACCTCCAATACGCCTCCAACACGCCACCAATACGCCTCCAACATGCCACCAACACGCACCAACACACCTCCAACACGCCTCCAATATAGTGTGATACTAATGGAGTGCTAATGGTAATGCTAACTGTGCTAAACAACAGACGATCTGTATTTTAAAGATGTTTTTAGAACTGGATGAATTATAATGAAAAATAAAACAATAACAAGAAATTAGAAACTAGTTAACAGAAAGTAAACAAACTCTTCTAACCAGAAGACCAAGAGGTGTAAAGCTGAATTGAGGACCATTTTTAATTCTATTCAAAATCACGGAAGTCCTTGATTTCAACCACTGGACTAACAGACGTCTGCTCGGTTGCAACCGTGATCTCTAAAATACTGCATGTACTTGGGCCAAAGTCTGAACATTTCAACAACAATATTAATATTGTTGATATACAGTTAGGAAATTTCTGGAATAAAATCATAGTATTACGAAAAAAACATACTTTGGCAAAAAAAAATCTGACTTTTGGAGAAACTTTTTTAATATTTTGATAAAAAATTATTAATATTACAAGACAAAGTTGAAATATTTTTATAAAAAAAGTCAATATTTTGAACTGTAACATTGCAAGAAAAAAGAGATGAAATATTTTTTGTTTTAAAACAAGATTTTTACTTTAGGCTTGAACCTTTTTATTAAAATTATTCGGATGTTTTTTCTCAATTTTTTTCTTGAAATATTACTTTTTGTTCATTATGTTTTACTACCATTTTTTACTGAAATATTTTAAATTATTTTCTTGTAATATTATAATTTTATTTTGTGTGTTTTTTCCTAACTGTGGTCCTTAAACTCCTGATACTCTCTGTTTGCCTCTCAGGTCTCACTTGTAACCACAATTTCTACTTTTGTGCCTTAACTTGTATTTCTAACGATTTTCTGTGATAATGTGTTGACGTACCTGTCCATGTGCATACCTGTTGCCCCCCAATCTCCACACCTGCCTTTCCCACAATCCACTGCTTTGCCTTTGGCGTCTGTTCAGGGGTGTTTTTCCCACAGTGGACCACAGTTTACAGAGTTCAGTGATCGGATATATTGATGTTTAAAATGATCAACGATTGGAGTGCTCTGAATGCTGAATGGTACAGTGGCTACCACATAATCACAACGTGCTCGGTTCGATTCCAGACGCAGAAAATCTTCATCTGAAAGAAAAAGAATGATCACAATAAGAGACATAAAGTTTACTGAAATACCAAGCTGGAGATTGAACATTTATAACAGAGAATAAGCTCCAGCAACCAATCCACTGACTTTCACTCAACATCCATACACATGTACCTGACGCTGTTATACTGCCCCCCACTGCTCACAGGCTGAATTGCATCTTGTGGACATTGAGTTCTACTCTGAAGGATAAAACATAAAAATATCAAAGTGCTTCCTGCTTCCAGGGACATGGCACAAAAAGCATGCTTACATCTTTACAGCAGCATACCCACAGTTTTTAAGAGATCACTGCAGTGAAATGATGAGATACAACTTGAGAGATGTAACAGTACAATTAGCTGTCATTTTGCAGTCTACAGCGTTCTATAAAACATTGCTCACATGTGCATGAGTGATGAATTTGATCATTTTTATTAACATTTGCCATTATTTCCCTGTTAATGATGATACTTTCGATGTTTAACAATAATATTGATTAAAATATCACCACAATAATACTTTATAGGTACAGGTGATATTTAGTTGCAGAACAGCTCTTTTTCGTCTTTGCCGTTTATTCCATTGACAGGTCTCTGAGCTGGGGGGAGTATTAATATGCAGACGGATGTTTAAGGGTGTTTCTGTATCCAGTTTTATGATATTTGGATAATAGTTTTCACAGTGATTGAGGTTTATAAAATAGAATCAGGCGTACGTACGGTTTTATAAATCTGACATAAAGAATTCATATTTCTCTCTTTGTGCATACACACAGTTTTAGTCAGGAATCTACAGAGTTTTATGCATCTGGCCCCTGGTGTAAAATCAACCCACAGGTAACAGAGCAGGTGGTTTCTGGGAAATGCAGCCCCAATGTGTGATGGTGAAGCTACCCGTCAGGACGTAAGAGTCACCACAGTGAGGATGTTTATTTTTTATTTTGAGGACTTCATGGCTCCTCCATGTCGCTGATGACAAATAATGGATCAAACACTTCAAATGATTTGTTCTTTTAAATCTTAAACTCATTTGAAAGAATCCATGTTCTCTGTGTCGTCTGGTGTCCGATGTTTCATCTCAGTGAGTCCAGGAGGCTGCAGAGGGAGATATGTTCAGTCTAGCCTAGCTTAGCATAAAGACTGGAATCAGAGGGAAACTGCTAGCCTCCAACCACAAACTAGCTTCAGTGCTAACTGCAAATAAAACCACGTTTCTCCACCTGTTCAATAAACAAACTCTTCTCTTGATGGAGCTAGGCTAACAGTTTCCACCTGCTTCCAAGCTAAACCTATCTCCTCTATAAAGGACAGACACAGAAGAATCTTACTGTGGAGGAGACAGAGAACAAGTGGATTTACTCAACATTTAAATAAAAGTTCTCAGATGCTAATGTGACGTTGGCTAATCCAGAAAAATCTGTTTGACTTTTTTCCTGTAAAGGAAATTGTTTTTTTCCCACATTGAATTCCAACTGATGAAATTGTAATTTCTATTGATCACAAAACAAAGTAACAAATAAGTAACACAAAATTAATGAAATAAATCTGATGAAATTGTGCAGAGTCCTGGTCTAAACCCGCCGTGGAGACGGCCGATTTCTCCGTCACAATAACAGATCTCACTTGTCTCAACAAACTCAAACTCGGCTGCTGGTAAAAACTTGTACAGTGCCGACTGGAACAGATTTATTTATGTCTTATGGTGGCGGCGGGTCTTCTGTCTGCGGCGGGTTGTGTTCAGGTGCGAATGGTAAACTTATGTGTTTGCTGTGGTCTGGTTGTGATGGTGGTGGACAGGTGGACAACCCTATCAGCTCGGTGTGGCGTTCAGGGACACAGAATGTGATGTCACTGCTAAACAAGATGCAAGGGAGTTTTGAATGTGTTCATAAGCATAACATGGTCAAACCTCATTTAACCAAAGGAGAATCACTTTAGTTAGGTGGTTTGATCCATAAAAAATAGGTTTTTACCTGATAATACTTTCCGTTAGGAGAATATGACTTGAAACCTTTTATCTCCAAAGTGTCATACTATAATTTGTTATATTTGTGAATGAAGTGTGAGATTAAAATAAAACTTAGAAGATTAGCAATTGAATCTTTATCTGTTCACCAACAGAAAGTTTTATAATTATTTCTTATTTCATTAAAATATGATTGTTTTGTGACATTTCAGTCAATTATCCTGTGAAAAATGCTGTTTGCAAATAAAAATCAGGTTTTTTTCAAAACAAACAACTGATAAAGAAGAGATAGCCTTCTGAAGTCTGAAATGTTTGATATTTTTTGTTAAACAATAAAGAATTTACCTCTAATATAAATAAAGTCGAGAAAGTGAGTTCATCGTATGCTGATGATGCACTCCTTTATGTTTTAGAACAATGTGGGACACCTGGCTTCAGCTAAAGTTTGTGGTTCCTGATGTTCTGTTAGGAGAAAGTTTTGGGATTTGTTGATTCTATAAAGTTCAAATCCAGGATTTTATTTAATACTGACATTAAGAGCTTTCTCCAGGAATTACATTCTAGTCAGAAAAAATGTTAAAATGTTGTATTTGTCATTCATATATTTCTTCCTTTAGGCTCTGAAAAGAATCAAAAAATTCTCCTATACTTTAAAATATTAAATGTAAAAACCTGTGAATCAGTAACTGATACTTTGGAGATACAGGGTTTTCATACTGCTCCTGGTTCTTACATTTACTGTTAGTGTACAAGCTATCAGTACAACAACATGCAGTTTTAAAACAGCATGACGTTAAAAAGATAAATATAATGAATGCAGCTATGATAATATTTAATGTATTATGTATTTATGGACAGAAAAGAGGAGCTTCAGTTTTCTGGTTCCTCCATTTCGGGTCAGTTTTATTCTAATAGCTCCTCCTTGTCCGCTGCCACCACACCAGACATTTTAAAACCTCCGACAAACCTCAAAGACGATGATTTAAAACATAAATGTTTTGACTTCATGGACAAGAAGATAAAGAGTATGAATGCATTTTACAAAAAAGTATTCCACTTTTATATGTTTTATTTTTTTGTCCATGTTCTGTATTTTTATTTCTATTACTTTTTGTTGCTGTGAAGAAAGTAGTATGTTCTTGTTGAAAGACATATAAATATATATAAAAAAGTATAAAGCAGGAATGTATATGAAAGGTCACAGTTTTGTACTTTGCTGTTTGTAGGAAGGTAGCAACTTTAGTGTAGCAATGGATCGATTTTAGGGCTTTATACAAACGACGGGAGCTTCCTGTTAATATGCAACTTTTTATGAATGATAGTGTTTAAGCTGATGGCTGTTAATGCTGCTTTGTGTCATCACAGCAAAGATTTCCATGTAAAGAGAAAAATTCTTTTTGAAATGCAATAAAAGTTATTGAGTAAAACAATTGTATCCTCTTTATGAAAATGGCTCTGTTTTATTTTCATTTTTACTTCAGAAACAAGACTTTAAAGTCCAGATGAAATAACTGTTTTAACTCTTAAAGATTTTTGTATTTTTATATCAAAAATCCAATAATTTTTTCTTCATGTAAAACAAAATGTCACATGCTCACGTAAGTGTGAACCAACCAGTTTCAACCAATAGTATCATGACATCCACCCTTCAATCAGTCTTCAACTTTTATCAACATAAAAGTAAGACTCAGCAGAGTACATCAGCTCTAACACAGTGAGCACTGACGTTGAATAACACTGATTATCTGGGTATCAGGGCTCCTGTCAGCGGGGGGGATATACCAGGCAGACAGTGAACAGAATTGATGTGTTAGAAGCAGGAAAAATGGACAACGTGAGGATCTGAGCCACTTTGAAAAGAACCACATTGTGATGGACGACTGGGTCAGCTATTGTGGGGTGTTCCCGGTCTGCA